TCAGGATAGGTCTAATGCTTTAACCATGGAGCTACATCCTCAACCTGCCTAAGATATTTTTTTCATTCATTCATTTTGTTGTTTGTGGGGCCTGAACTCTGGGCCTGGGCACTGTCCCTCAACTGTTCAGCTCAAGGCTAACGCTCTACCACTTGAGCCACAGTGCCCACTTCTTGCTTTTTCTGCTTATGTGGTGCTGAAGAATCAAACCCAGGGCCTCATGCATGTGAGGCAAGCAAGCACTCTACCACTGAGCCACCTTCCCAACCCTTATTTATTTATTTTTGTCAGTCATGGGGCTTGAACTCAGGATCTAGATGGTGTCCCTGAGCCCTATTTTACTCAAGGCTAATGCTCTACCACTTTGAGCCACAGCACCACTTCCAGTTTTCTGGTGATTAATTGGAGATAAGAGTCTCAGAGACTTTCCTTTGGCTTCAAACCATGGTCTTCAGATCTCAGTCTCCTGAGTAGCTAGGATTACAGGCATGAGCCACCAGTGCCCGGCTCAATCTGCCTAATACTTAAAATCAAACATCCCAGCCAGGTGTCTGTGGCATAGCCTGTAATCCTATCTATTCAGGAGGTTGAGATTTGAGGATAGCAGTTCAAAGCCAGCCCAGACAGGTAAGTCCTTGAGAATTTAATCTCCATTTAACAACCAGAGGACCAGAAATGGCTCTGTGCCTCAAGTGGTAGAGTATTCACCTTGAGCTGAAGAGCCCAGAGATCAAGCCTCATGACAAAAAAAAAGAAAAAAAGAAACAGAACAAAAACTCCCTACAAACATTCCATAGTGTCATGGTCCAATACAGTGGCCACTAACCATATGCTTATTGTGCCCTTAAAATGTGGGTTTAAGGGGCTGGGAAGATGGCTCAGTGGCAGAGTGCTTGCCTTGCATGCATGAGGCCCTGGGCTCAATTCCTCAGCACCACATAAGCAGAAAAAAAAAAAAAGCCGGAAGTGGTGCTGTGGCTCAAGTGGTAGAGTGCTAACCTTGAGCTAAAGAGCTGAGGGACAGCGCTAAGGCCCAGAGTTCAGGCCCCATGACCGGATTAAAAAAAAAAAAATGTGGGTTAAAGTTGAAATTGAGATGCACTTTGTAAGTATAATAGAGATACTGAATTTATGAAAATTAATTGTCATATAATATTATTTGGTTATAGTGATTTAATATATATCATTAAAACATTAGAAAAAAACAAACAGTAGTTGGAAAACAGGCTCTTGGACTATTTTTATATACTCCACAAGCTAACAATCGTTTATCTATTTCTAAATTCTTTTTTTTCGTAAGGTAACATTTATTAACTTTTTTTCATTTTTTAGTGACTTGCTAAAAAAACCTGCAAAATAAAAAATCTACTTGTGGTTAAAATATAGTTGCCCAGATAGGCATATATGCACAAACATATACCCATACACATATATCTACTATATACATATACATATCTGTATACGTGTATGTATGTGTGGATATATGCTACCTTCATCTTTATCACCTCCAACCATAACAGAATGCCCTCAGCAATTTGTGTGTGTGTGTGTGTGTGTGTGTGTGTGTGTGTGTGTGTGTGTATGTGTGCGTGTATGAGTACTAGGGTTTGAACTCAGGGTCTAAAGCTCTGAGCTTAGGTTTTTTTTGTTCAAGACTGATGCTCTACCAATTGAGCTACAGCTCTACTTCTGGCTTTTTTATTTCTAAATTCTTCGCCAACATTGTTAGAAAGAATAAAAATTTGTATTTTACAAATTTAAATTTCCACAAACAAAACTTATCAGGAAAGAACACTAGTCATTAGTGTATATGTAGTCTCTGGCTGTTTTTCTGTTAAAACAGCACTGCTGGTTCAAGAGCCATGACCAACAAAACCTACACACACACACACCCTCAGCACTGCTGGACTGCAAAGCCTGTAACTAGTCATTCTCCACCAGGGGTAACTTTCCTCCAGAAGAGCAATTACAGAGGAAAATTTTTTCAGAGTCAAGGATGTTTCAATACACTTTACAACACACAAGCAAGCTTCCAATACGAGTATTGCGGAGGCTTACAAACCTAGGCCTAACCTAGCTCTTTTCAGAAAAAATGTTTTCCAGCCCTTGGTCAAAAACACAAATTCTAGCCCAGTGCCAGTAGCTCACATTTGCAATCCTACCTAGTCAGGATGCTGAGATCTGAGGATTGCAGTTCAAAGCCAGCCAGGACAGGAATGTCCATGAGACTCTTATCTCCAATTAACCAGGCAGAAGTGGAGGTGTGGCTCAAATGGGAGAGCACATGTCTTGATTGAAAAAGCCTAGCAAGGACTTGGAAGATGGCTCAGTGGTAGAGTGCTTGCCTTGCATACATGAGACCCTGGGTTCAATTCCTCAGCACCACATAAACAGAAAATGCCAGAAGTGGCACTGTGGCTCAAGTGGTAGAGTGCTAGCCTTGAGCTGAAGAGCTCAGGGACAGCTACCAGGACCAGAGTTCAAGCCCCACGACCGACAAAAAAAAAAGCCTAGCAAGAGTGCAGCACCTTGGATTTAAGCCCCAGTTGTGGCACAAAATAAAAAATAACAAAACTTCAGACAATTTGTACACAGCAAGAAACAGGACAAAGACCTGTTGGATGCTGTTTCAGCTACTATGTTGCCACCCCTTCCATTTCCTCTATATAGCTCCTGGAAATACAAGAAAAAGCCTGGAAAATCCACATTCTAGGTTCCCAGTTCTGGAGATCTCATAAATGGTAACAATGTAAACATTAACAAAGGTTTTGGTATCTTTTTATTGGCTATTAAAACCATATTACATAAAAAGTTCAGAAAATGGGGGTTGGGAAGGTGGCTCAGTGGTAGAGCGCTTGCCTTGCATGCATGAGGCCCTGGGTTCGATTCCTCAGTACCACATAAGCAAAAAGAAAAAAGCCGGAAGTAGCGCTGTGGCTCAAGTGGTAGAGCGCTAGCCTTGAGCTGAAGAGCTGAGGGACAGCGCCCAGGTCCAGAATTCAGGCTCCACAACCGGACCCCCCCCCCCAAAAAAAAAGTTCAGAAAATGAAATGAAAAATAATAAAGAAAACACAGATAAGGAAACTTGAGAGGAAGGCTGCTCTGAAAAGGACAAAGTCACAAAAATAAAGTTCAGTGATATTAAACATATGGAATGAGAAGCCTGAGTGTGTGTGTGTGCATCACTGAGGCATGCTTGATAATAAATCCTTAATAAATCTCTTAATAAATCCTCTGAGTCCACTCATCACATTCATTGTTTCACAGAATGTTCTGACACCAAAGGAAAAATGTGACTCACCCCTATAATCTTAGCTACTCAAGAGGTTGAGATTTAAGGATTACAGTGTGAAGCCACCCTGGGCAAGAAAGTCCCTGAGACACTTTACCTCCAATTAAGCACACAAAAAAAGCCGGAAGTAGAGCTGTGGTTCAAGTGGTAGAGCACTAACCTTGAGCAAAAAGCTCAGGGATAGTACTCAGCCCTAGGACCAGGACCAGGAAAAAAAGTATGTATAAATATAAATATCTGTATATACACATAGATAAGTAGGATTATTAATTACTATACATCTTTCTCCTCCAGATTGGAAGCTTCCTGAAGACAGAGTCCAATGTCTATCTTTGTATCCCCAATATGCAATACATTCAGGCTGTCAACAAATACTGGTTTTTGGCTTAATTACTCACTATTCACACCCCATTCTTCCTGCATACCTTTCCATTGCTTAAAAAAATCCTTTCCTGGGCTGGCAAGGTGGCTCAGTGGTAGAGTGCTTGCCTTGCTTGCATGACGCCCTAGGTTGGATTCCTCAGCACCACATAACCAGAAAAAAGCCAGTAGTGTTGTGGCTCATGGTAGAGCACTAGCCTTGAGCTGAAGAGCTGAAGGACAGCGCCCAGACCCTGAGTTCAGGCCCATAACTGAAAAAAGAAAGAAAAAAAAAATCCTTTCCTTTTTCTCTTTCAGCCCATAAAAGAGATGCTGAAAAAGGAAGTTCTTTCAGGACTTTCGGTGTTTATTCCACCACTATTTCTTTCCAAAATTTAATATAGCCAACATACTACTCCCACAACTCTGTTTAAAGTGTTTTGATTAAACAATGGAGCTAATGAACTCCCTATACGCAGGTAAAACAGCTTACCCAGTGTTCACTTCCTTTTAATTATTGTAATAGACACTTTCCACTTGCAAAGGTACTTCATGTTGTTAAAAACAGAAGATATTTGATAAACCAAAGGGGGGAAAATCCATGCCTCCTACAATACCATCATACAGAGACACAAAAGCATTTTAGAATTTTTTACACACTTTTAAAACTACTGCTCCCTCCCACCTTGGTTTCTGTTATAGCTTTCTAGTGGTTAACAAGAAGGCTTACCTTCCTGATTTTTCTTTATGAAATCTCCTTCTTGGGCTTTTAGTTGAAGGATTTACTTCTATATTTCCAGATAAAACCATATTGATCACAGAAACTTTATCTTTACCATAACAGAATCAAAGAAACACTTTCTTACAAGAGGGATAAATATTAGCAACAAAAAAGAACCAGAAATGTAGAGAAACAAAGCAACATTCCTCAAAACCACTTGTACACAATTACACATTTTCCAATGTTTAAACTGATTTATCGAGGGAGTTCAGACAATTTTCTGCCTAGAAGCCAGAACTTCGCATTCTACTATTTACACGATGTTTTATGTGGCTTTAAAAAGAGCCTCCCACAAACTGGGCACCTATGGCTCACCCCTATAATCCTTGTTACCCAGGAGATTGAGATCTGAGGCTCACAGTTCCATGCAGCAGGGACAGGACAGTTCCGTGAGACTCTTTTATCTCCAATTAATCACAAGAAAACCAGAAGTAGTGCTGTGGCTCAAAGTGGTAGAACTCTAGCCCTGAGCAGAAAAAGCTCAGGTACAGCACCCAGGCCCTGAGTACAAGCCCCATGACCCACAAAAATACAAAACAAAACAGAAATTCCAGCACGTTACTTACTTGTTAGGTAGTGCCTGTCTTTGCTTGTTTGCTTGCTGATCCACAAGGGAACTGAATTTGGTTGTAAACTCCATTAAGATACTGAAATCGCTTCTCCATATTGCTTGTTTAAGTTTGGGGGAAAAAAAGTATTCTGAGACGTGATTTTTTTTTTTTGTTACTAGCTCTTTGTTATAATAGCCTGTATAACTTCTGGGTTTATAATTCACCTCTTACTAGGTAGTATAGATTCATTATGTTCTCCTCAGAATTCGTATGTTAATCCCTTAATCCAAACATGAATGTATTTATCCAGACTACAAATAGGGTAGGGCGCTGGTGGCTCACACCCTTAATTGTAGCTATTCAGGAGGCTGAGATCTGGGGATTGCAAGCCAGCGAAGCCAGCACAGGCAGGAAAGTCCATCTTAGCTCCAATTAACCACAAGAAAACCGGAAGTGCGCTGTAAGTCAAAGCGTTAAAGCGCTAGCCTTAGAGAGAAAGAGTTCCAGGAACAAAACCCAGACCCCCCAGTTCAAGCCCCACTACCGAGAAAAAAAATTAAAACAAAAATTAAATACAAATCGAGTTGTGCAAGTGAGCTCACTTGGAGGCCAGATGGCCTCCAGCGTGTGCGGGTGGTAACAGGAAAAGGGAGCCACAGGAATCTACCAGGGTGAGCATGGAAGCAGTAGGTCCCAAGCTCCTTGAACTTGGTGCCCACGCGCCCCCCGATGCCAGTGCAGCTGGTGCGGGTTCCCCAAGCTAGAGCGGGAAAGCGAAAAAGGTAAGGAGTGCAGCCAGTGCTCGTCCCCCGTGGATTTGAGTGGGACTCCCACGGGGGAAGGTAGAGAGTGCCCAATGCGCTGATTCTGCGTGGAAATATCCTTCAGAGATCAGGGTGCCCGCAGGTTTGGTGGCCAGTGCTGTGGCCCAAGAGGAAATGAGGGTGTCCGCATGTTTTCTGGGAGGTTGTGGCGATCAGGGACCAAACACAGCCCCCCACTATGTGTCCCACGGGAAGTGTGAAGAAGGAGCACAGCAAGTGCCTATCTTCACAGTCCGTGCTGTGTGCGCGGATCCTTTGAGGATGGTGGCGACTGTGGAATGCAGCGGGTGCTGCCGGCGCCAGGGAAGCCCAACGACTTCCCCAGCGATCGCGTTCCTCCACAGGAGGGAGAGGGACGAGGAGTTCGGTTACCTGGGCTTTCGAGGCAGCGAATCACAGGAAACGGGGATCCCACGGTGCGCCACGGGAAGCTAGTAGAGCTCCCAGGGAAGTCGCGGAGGAGGCGGATCCACCAGACAATGCCGCGAGCGCTAGAGAGCGCCGGGAGTGCCTGGAATGCGGCGACCGCGTGGTGCTCAGGGAAGGCAGGCAGCTCCCAGTGTTTTCCTGGCGAGCAACGCAGGTACTACTGGGAGCTCTGGATCGACTTCTCCAGCGTCACCTCCTCTTTTATGGCTGCATTATGGGTGTCAGTGTCCACTCCCACCCACTGCCTCCCTTTGCCCACCTACAGCCTCTGTTACTGCCCAGGTTTTGGAAGGGATCCTGGACTGAATAATTGTCAGGAATTACTTCCTAATCGATTCTGATGATTTTTTAGATGACCTGAAAATCAATCTTGCTAATGAAGCGTTTTATTCATGATAGGCGCAGGATCCCAAGAAAAGGATTATAGCCAGTGCCAAACTATAGTGAGCATGACAGTATTCTTGTAAATTTGTCATGAGCAAAAACCTTTACTGATGTAGGACATAAATCTCAGAGTAGCAGAAAATTATGGGGGAGGGAGAGAAATGTACATAAACACAGAATGTAGCATTGCTGGAGCACATGAAAAAAATTAAATGAGAAAAAAGCAGCTTTTTAAAAATAGGAAAAGAATGAAATCTTTTCCACATAATTTGGAAAAAAAAAAAAGGCTGAAGCTAACCTGGAATTGAAAAAGAAACAGTTTCTTTCTGTCCCTAAACTTCAAAATAATGAAAAACCTTTGGACACACAGCAGCTTAAGGTTGTGGAAGCAGATTCTAAGCCCTTGGCTAAATGTTCACTATTCCCAAGAATTTTGAAATGGCAGCATAATCTTAATCATGTTTAGAATTTATGCTCTTGAGATAAACATTTGGCAGTGAAATACTTCTGCTTCCGAATGTCAAAGGAAATTACTTCAGTGTATTCTTTGCTTTTATTGAAATGCATACTTTGTTTTTAAAAGGCAGGAAGCAGCATTCAGCAATATTAATAAAATGTGCTTGCTTAGTGGTATTCTAAGTGGTTTATATTGATTGCCTTGCAAAATAAATGGAAGACAGGTAGCATTTATAGGATGTGTGTGAGAAAAGGAATATTTCTAGGTATTCTTGCCACTTTTTTTACAGTGAAAATACTGTACACAGGGGTTACAATTACATGGGCAAGATAATGAGTACATTTCTTATCAAGCATTGTAGCCTCCTCCTTTGTTTCCCCTTCCCATTCCTTCCCATCCTCCCCCCACCCAGGTTTTTTTAAATGTGCTGCTCCTAGATGCTGTTTCTGAGCTCTTTTGCCCAAAGCTAACACTCTACCAGTTCAGTCACAGATCCACTTTGGCTTTTTGTATTTAATTGGAGTCTCATGGACTTTTTCTGCTGACTTTAAATCACAATCCTCAACATACTGAGTAGGATTACATACATGAACCACCAGCACCTGTTCTTACTCTTAAAAAAAAATTATTTAGCCAGTCCTGGGGCTTGAACTCAGGGTCTGAGCACTGTCCTCAATTGAGCCTCTTTTGCTCAAGGCTAGCAGTTTACCACTTGAGCCACAGAACCACCTCTGGCTTTTCCTGTTTATGTACTCCTGAGGAATCGAACTCAGGGCTTCATGCATGCTAAGCAAACACTCTGCCACTAAGCCAACTTCCCAGCCCTAAAAATATTTATTGTTATTATAAAGGTGTTGTACAGGACTAAGAAGGTGGCTCACTGGTAGAGCACTTGCCTTGCATGCATGAGGCCCTGGGTTCAATTCCTCAGTACCACATAAACAGAAAAAGCCGGAAGTGGTGCTGTGGCTCAAGTGGTAGAGCGCTAGCCTTGAGCTGAAGAGCTGAGAGAGACAGTGCCCAGGCCCAGAGTTCAGGCCCCTTGACCAAAAAAAAAAAAAAAGAAAGAAAGAAAGAAAGAAAAGAAGGTGATGTACAGAGGGATTACAGTTACATAAGTCAGATAAAGAGTACATTTCTTTCTTTTTTTGGGGGGGGGTCCAGTCGTGGGGCCTGAACTCTGGGTCTGGGCGCTGTGCCTCAGCTCCTCAGCTCAAGGCTAGCGCTCTACCACTTGAGCCACAGCACCACTTCCGGCTTTTTTCTTTTTGCTTATGTGGTGCTGAGGAATTGAACGCAGGGCCTCAGGCATACAAGGCAAGCGCTCTACCACTGAGCCACCTTCCCAGCCCCAAGAGTACATTTCTTTTTGGGCAATGTTACTCCTTCCTTCCTCAGTTTTCCCCTCCCATCCAACCCACAAGTTGTATTGTTCATTTTCAACAGGGTCTAGTGAGTGCCATTGCTGTGTTTGTTTACCCTTTCCTGATCTTATTCTTATCACTTGGGCAAATTAAGTGTGTGAATAAGCTTCAGGGGGACCATGAACTTGTGACATTGTGTGCCCACTATTTGGTATGCTTGTTGTGGTTGCAAAATTCCACAATTTTAAGACATTGGTATCAGAGCTGGATTTATCTCTGCATTGCTTTCTGTATCTTTCTACTTGAGGAAAGTAGTTCCTTAATACTTTGTATTTTTCTCTTTAATCTTTTTTTAATGTTTTTTATTGTAAAAATAGTGTACAGAGGGGTTACAGTTACATGAGTAAGGTAATGAGTACATTTCCTATAGAGCATTGTTACTCCTTTGTTTTTCCCCTACTACCCCTTCCCTCTCCACCTCCCAAACTCATCCCTACCCCCTCAAGTTGTAAGTTTTCAATATAGTGTCTTGTACATCTCATTGTTACAATTGGTCAACCTGTATCCTAATTTCAGCATTTTGTTATTTCCCTTCCCCTCCCCAAATTAGAAAAATGTATATACAAGCAAACCCCTGTTGTCTTTAATCTTTTTTTTTGGGTCCAGTCGTGGGCCTTAACTCTGGGCCTGGGCGCTGTCCCTCAGCTCTTCAGCTCAAGGCTAGCACTCTACCACTTGAGCCACAGCACCACTTCCGGCTCTTTTCTTTTTTTTGCTTATGTGGTGCTGAGGAATCAAACCCAGGGCCTCATGCATGCAAGGCAAGCACTCTACAACTGAGCCACCTTCCCAGCCCTGTCTTTAATCTTTTTAGGAGTCATTTTCAATAGAACAAAATGTACTAGTCAAACAAAAAGTTGCTTGAGGTCATAAAAACAATGTAGGGCTGTGAATGAAACTCAAGTGGTAGAGTGCCTGCCTACCAATCACAAGATCCTGAATTCAAACCCCAATACAACTTGAAATAAAAGCCAAAATAAACAAAAATGAATGTATATAGAAAAGCCACAGGCAGAGGGAAAAATTTTTACTATAGGGATACCTAAGTATAAGCTATATACAAAACATCTAGTTTTTATAATTAACTTGTCAATCTTTTAAAATAATTACTCAATAGTAAAACATAAGCCAATAGAGAAAAAAAATAGCACGTTGAGGAATGCTAAAAGTGTCCTATAAAAGTAAAAACAGGGCTGGGAAGGCGGCTCAGTAGTAATCTTGCCTTGCATGCATGAGGCCCTGAATTCCATTCCTCAGCACCACATAAGCAGAAAAAGCAGGAAGTGGTTCTGTGGCTCAAGTGATAGAGTGCTAACCTTGAGCTGGAATGCTCAGGAACAGCTCCAAGGCCCAGAGTTCAGGCCCCATGACAGAGAAAAAAAAAAAAAAAAAGTAAAAAACAGAATCAACTGTTCAGAACTCTGAGAACTCTGGAATCTGATTAAAAAAACAAACAAACAAACAAAAATTTACAAGATGGTGGTGTCAACAAGATGAGTAGGAAGTACCAGGCCCTCATTTCACCCTCAAAATGCATTTCAACTAAAAGTTATTATAACTCATGTATAATTATAAGAAATAGTTATAAAGTGAATAAAACTATTTCCTAGGAACCCAGGGAAGAGATGACTGATTAAAAATACTGTAAACTACAATAGCTAAAGCCTTGAGAAGACACAATTGAAAATTGAGGCATTTAAAAGCAACTATGGACTCCTCTAAGACAACAATCCCACTTTTGGGCATTTACCCAAATGATCACATACAAGACCATATTAAAACTCCCAGCACAACTATGTTTATTGTAGCATTATTTACCATAGCTAAGATATGGAACCAACCCAGATGCCCTCAGTAGATGAATGGATTAACAAAATGTGGTATATGTACACAATGGAATTTTATGCCTCCATCAGAAAGAATGACATTGCCCCATGTGTTTGGAAATGGAAAGCCTTGGAAAAAATTATATTAAGTGAAGTAAGCCAGGCCCAAAGAAACGTAAGTCCTATGGTTTCCCTTATTTGCAATAACTAGTATATGTCTGAGACAAGCAGAAAAGGTCAGATAAGTTGATGTTAGGCGAAATGAACCCCAAGATAAGGACTCAAATGGTTTTTCTTTCTTGCTATTGTTTCTAACATATTTATAAGATGATTTCTTTGTTGCTTTGTATGTCCCTCCCCCATAGTATAACCCCTGTTTTCACTGTATTTGATGTTGGTATAATTTGGGAAGGGAAAGGAAAAAAACAAAATGTTTAACTAGGGATACAGGTTGACTCATTGTAACAATGAGATGTACAAGACACTATGTCAAAAAAAGGAACTTTACAATTTAGGCAGGGGGTGGGGGGGGTGAAGGGGGTGGGCGGTGGGGGGGGGGAGGATGGAGGGGGTGGGAGGGGGTGGAGGGGGATAGTTGAGGAGGTGGGAGGCACCCCATGGTAGGGGAAAAACAAAGAAGGCAACAATTCTTGATAAGAAATGTACTCATTACCTTGCTCATGTAACTGTAACCCCTCTGTACAGTATATAAAAAACTCATTAAAAAAAAAAGAATTCGTTGGACTTGGGGGGGAAAAAAAGCAACTATGGCCAGGCACTGGTGGCTCACACCTGTAATCCTAGCTACTCAGGAGGCTGAGATCTCAGGATTTCAGTTCAAAGCCAACCTGGGAAGGAAAAATCCATGAGACTCTATCTCCAATAAACCACTTAAAAAACCAGAAGTGGTGCTGTGGCTCAAGTGGTAGAGCACTAGCCTTGAGCTGAAGAGCTGAGGGACAGCGCCCAAGCCCAGAGTTCAAGCCCCATGACAAAAAAAAATCCTCATGCATAGCTGGCTTTGAAATTTCTCAGGATCA